AGCAGTGTTTTTTTAATACTCTGGATTAATTCCAGTTTGCAACACGAGGTAAAACGTGTGTGTTTTCATATTCAGAATCTGCTCCACACTGGATCCTCTTTACAGTCCATTTTCCAGTACTCCGGCTAAATAGAAAATGGATATCTGAAATCTTGCAGGACCCTCTTGAGAATGTCTATTCTTAATTATAGGAACTAATAACTTTATCTTGTGTACATATCAAAGCTACTTTCCCCCTATTTTTGGAAGAACATCTACTGCTGTTTAGTCTGGCTGTGGTGGATCAACTCCTTTGGATAATGACAGTGTTGTCATTAATCTGGGATAAGGACTTTCAGACCAAGTCCTTTGTGTTTTCTCTGGGTGACTGTGGTTTCTGCATGTGATCTTTTGTCCAAGTTGTGCACACAACTCAGTTTCTCAGACATTGTTTTAGAGCATGAGTGCCACCCATCAGTTCACTTAAGCCACCTAGACAGCATTTTGGCAATGAAGTCGGTTGTTTCTGTGAGCGCAAACATTCCTGGATCGATTGTCACCCTCCCCTCAATTGCACCTGTTCTAGTGCAAGTGCCAAGAAAAGAATACTTGAAAACAGAGCCAAGAAAATTACCTGGGCAGGTGTTTCTGTTGCTTAGGAGTGGGGAACTTGAAGAAAGCAAGCCAGTAAGTGTGGGGAAGGGTGGTGATTTAACTGGGCAGGATAGATACTACCTGCTGAAATATTTAGTGCAAAGATACCTTTTGTTTGGCAGTGACCTTCTGAGAAGAAATTGATGGGTCAATGTGGACCATGATACAGAGACTAAAAACCTGTTGATAAGAGTGCTTTTGGAAGGTGCACACCAAGGCATACTTTTCAGTCTCTGGGAAAATGGGCTGGAAATGGGCTGACAAAAGTTCTTCCCATACTTTGTTCAACGGAGCCTCGACTAAGAAAGAAGCTGTTCACCTGTCCTGTGCTATCTGGTGGCTGCTTGTGTGTGTGGAGGGAGCCCTGGAAGTGCTTCTTTGTGCCTGGTAAGGGGTTCGTGGTTCACGAGTCTGAGACTTCATCAGCACTGAAATTCTGTCAGTATAGTTGTGTCACATGGTTGAGTTCTTCATGCGCCCAAATTACTGCCAGCTATGCCAGCAAACCCTGGTGTATCTGCAATGATTGTAACAGAAGTGTGTGTTCACTGGTTCACTTTAGAGATGACTTAGCTATGTCAGCAAGCAAATTCCTTTCACTGGTGTATGCTGCATCCTCAGCTGAAGGCGATGCTGGCATAGGTGCGTTCTGCGATCAATTTTGTTCATGACAAACAGAGGACTGCTGGAGGCTATATGCACCTATGCTATGTACGTACCAAATACAAAACAGTTATGTTGAAACTTACAGGGCTCCACTCTTGCCATTGACTAGTGATCAACATACATTCAGCATGATGCGATGGCTTTCATCTTTGTTCTGTCCGATTTGATTCATTTGGACCTTTCAGACCTCACCCTCCTTGCAACTGCAGCAAGAACAAAATAGAACAGATCTGTAACATACATGTCTGCTCGAGTAGCACTTGTCAGCTTTTATGCTCAACAAGGCTGACTTTATTCCCCCCAGTGGCCCTTGTATGAACCAGAAAGGACAAATACCAACGCCAACAGCGCGTGAAGCCCATTTATAAGACCTTATGGTCAATGGCTGATTAATTTAAATTTAAAAAAACCCAAATGCTGGTACAGGTGGCCAGGCAGTTGTGAATATCCAATTAACGTCACAACACCCATTACACTACCAAAGGAGAGACTGGTGTCTGTTTTCTCCAATGCTATAGCATCTTTCCTGTTTTGCTTAAACTGAATGAGATACAGGTAGCTGCACTTCATGTTGGAATAATAATGGATGAAGTTTATAAATGGAAATAATTAGTCCTGTGTACTTCAAGACCTTAAAAACAAAACATGTAAATGCATTGCAAATTATGCTGTACTATTTCTTTTATGTCAAGTTAAATGTAATCTTTTAAGGTTCAGAATGAAGCAGCCCCAAGTTTCCTGGTTTTTTTAAGAGAAAAATACTGAGGCCTTCGTAAAGTGGAAAATTATTTTAAAATATTCATAGCCCTTGGAAAAGGTCAGAGATGGGGAAAATGGTGCCAACGTTTTAATCTGATATATATCAAGACAGATTGGCCTCCATTCAAGAAAGTATTCTAGTCTACAAAAATATTAAGTATGTTCAATTATGCATATGGAAGCTTTGGAGCTGGATCTTAATTAAAAGAATAGTTAAATTTTGCTCTTACTCTTCAAACTGAAGCAGTTGGCCCAGGCAACTTAATTCCTCTCTGTTCAATGTATTTGTTTATGAGGTGTTAGAATTCTTACTTACATAGATCTAGATACTCCATTTGTGTTCTTTTTTACTAAATTAACAGTCAGTGTCCAGGCTATCAATCTAGGTGTAAAACCTGCGTGTCTCTTTTAATTCCCAAAGTCATTCTTCCAACCATGTTGTTGGATTCTCTCTTCCTTTTGTTTTTCTTGTCAAAGTGAGGGCCTCATCTAATTCACCAGAGCAGTTGCTCATCTATGAATGATACCATGCAGCACTATATTTGTGAATATACATGTGTGTTGTTGAGAGTATACACTACCTTTGTTAAGATTTTTTTTTAAAAGCTTTATGATATCTACCATATGACTCCGTAGATACTAAACACAACATGGCATCATTGTGCACAATATCTAAGGGCAATAGAAAGTAGTCAAAGGGAGTTTCATGTTCAGCTAGCCCTGTTTTAGTTTTTTTTAATTTTATTTTTCCCTAGATGTGTGCCTATGGACCAGCAGAAATCCAACTGATCCAAAACAATACACAGACTTTTATGATGATCTGTTCATTGTCATGTTGTAACTAAAATTCTGGACATTTTTTCATTCCTTCCAACTGACACCAATACAAAATTTTTGTAATACTTTGGTGGGAACTAGAAGCTTTTAATACTTAACTTCTACTATTTATACATCTTTTAATGTCTCTGGAAGAATACTAGGAGAAAGAGGTTGTTACACTCCAGTGGTCTAATTACTAACATTAGCAGCAGAATTCTAAAATGTCTATAAACATAGCATTTTTTTCATTTTTTTTCCTTTTCCCTCTGCTTGCCTCACATGCCTTCGTACTTGCTTTTAACTGCATAATCAGATGTAACCAAATCCCTTTTCCAGCCACAACACTACTTCAAGAGCAACAATATGTATGATGCAGGCTGAAATCCCAACCGAAATTAATCAGCTTTCTAGAAAAACTTCCAGGGTTGGATATTGTGGTTGTATGAAAAAGAGACTGGTGTGATGTTAGCAACCTGCTGAAGTGTTAACTTCTTTCTCCCTGTTCAAACTAGATTGTGTGCGGTATTAGTCAGGATACAATGCCCCTGCTGGGTATGTTGTAAGAGAAGGGACCTCTGAAGGTCATCTAGTCCAACGCCCCTGCCGTGGGCAGGGACATCTTCAACTCGATCAGGTTGCTCAGAGCCCAGTCCAGCCTGACCGGAATGTTTCCAGGGATGGGGCATCCACCACCTCTTTGGGTAACCTGTGCCAGTGCTTCACCACCCTAGCGTAAAACATTTCTTCCTTATATCTAGTATGTTACTCTTTAGACAAAACCAGTGTTGTTTGGGTTCCTTTAGGGTTGCTAAATTTCTGGCATTCTGAGTTCCCTCGAAAACAATCCCCAGAAGTGAAGGATTATGTGGTTTCAAAATCTAAATCTGGATTCACCCATTCCTGCAATACAAAAGTAATGAGGATAAATCTGAGTGATGTCTGAGAAAACGTAGTTCTCACGGAAAGTGTTTCATAGCATTGAAGTGTGTTCGGGTATTGTTTCTAGTGAGAATACCCCAGTTCTCTTAAGCAGTCATATCTGTAAGTACCAGCGGATATGTATTTCAGCATGTGAGAGGTCCTTAAAAAAAACAACTCTGGATTTTTGTGACAGGGTGAAGCCCATCTGCCTCTGTTGGGCTTCACAATCCACTCCATCTCACAAATTTGAGTCCCAGCGCTGCCTGCTCACCTCTCTCCTCTCACAGCTGCCTTTAGGCTACGCCTCAGCAGAAACCTGAGTAAAAAGCCAACCCGCTGACGAAGGCCGATGGTCAGAACGGTGCCGGACCACAAGGCCGTGACTGGGTGAGGAAGAGCCATTTGCTCTGGAAACGAAACCCAGTCTACGGGTGAGGAACGCGCTCTTACGCCTCTTCGCGGGGCACACCGCTTGTGCGTTAGCCCGCGGCGGCACGTTAGGAGGCTGCCAGCGCCCTGTCCTGCGCCGGAGGGTGTCGTTGGGACCAGGCCTCAGCAGCGGGTGCGTTGGAAACCCAAGGGTCTCCCATTTCCTGTCACGACACTCGCACGACGCGATGTAACAAACCCGCACGGAGCGGCCGGGCGCCCCTCGACGGCGCGAAGGCCCC